CTTTAATGAGGTGATGTGGATGACACATCATTTTGATGACTTAACTAAAATTAAAATAAAAACATATTTCAAATTATTATTAGTGATTTTCATTTTTCATTGTTATTATCTAAAAAAATATTTAATTTTTTTTTACTTTTTCTTATTAAGTTGCATTTAAATTAAATATTCTTAGAGTAAAATATTTATTAAATAAATATGCAACATTATTTTCGAGATATATTTTATTTGTAAAAAAGTCAATTTTTCCTATTTTATGTTGTTCAAATAAATRCATATCTTTTAAAGTTCTCTTTAAAATATTAACGAAATAAATTGTTATCTACAATTTTTTAATATTGTTATATTAATAAATACTTCAAAAAAATCTAATTAATTTAATATATTTATACGTCAAGTAAAAAGTTTTTAAACAAATATAATATATTCGTCAAGTAAAGATAATATTTTTTGGTAAAAAAATAGCAATTCTTTTTTTCCAAAAAACACATATTTTTTTTAAAATATTAGCGAGATAAGTTGTGTTCTACTAGTTTTATTGATATTGGTATATTAATGAATAATTTAGAATTTTTTTAATTCCTTTAATACATTTATTTAAAAAACATGTAAAATATCTAAATATTAAAATTAAAAAAATACAGTGTTTAATAAGAATTAGTAGATGTTATAATAAAATAATTTTGAAAGTACAACGATGTAGTAAGAAAGTCACATCACTATAGTACATGTGGATAGCCTACGTGGACAATGAGGTGGCATGAAAACCTAGTATAATGGGTAAATTTAAATCAAAAGGTTACCCAATGCTATAATGAGTAAATTTTTCAAAGTACAATGTCCTAATAAAAAATAATTTAAAAGTACATTGCTGTAATAAGAAAAACTAAAAATATAATGCTATAATAAAAAAATTTATAAAAGTAGATTGCTATTTTATGTATTTTGCCCCTATTAATTTTCAAATATTTTTGTATGTGGGCAGCCCAGCCTCTTCATCTAAGGCCCATCCCATCCTGATCCTACAGAAACAATCGGATAACCCACCCACCGGATCAACGTTCTTCTTGATTTCGGGAGGAAGATCATTTGAATGAAACTCATCCTCATTCATTTTCCCTCCTATTTTTCTTCTTCTTCGTTTGAAACAAGTTTGTTCGGTAAATCTTCTTCTATTTTTTTTTATTTGGGTTTATTTTCATATCGTAGGAATGTGATTGAAGTATGCTTTCTTGCTTTCCCTAATCAAGAAATAATATAAAACCAAAATTGAGATGAATTTGAACATCATTTCAACTTCCTGTTGATGCTTCATTCAAGTTCTACGATGAACATGAAAGATCTAAAATAAATGAGTTGGTGGTTTCCCACTTAAGAGCATCCCCAGAATGCTGTATTACTTTTTGGGCCCTTCCTACAATTTTAAAATAATTTCCTCATACGATGAATCGGTGATTACTCCCGCCTCTCAAAATACTTGACGCTCCCGCTTCCGGTCATCGGAGATTCCTGGACCCACAGCAGCCACTGCCGCTCCTTTTCCACAACCATTCTCACCTCTCGATTCTTACAGGTTAGGGCTTCAATTTTCAGTTTATGTTTTGAGTTTTGAAACTTTGAAATTGTTATATGAGTTATTTAGATTTAGATTTTGTGTTTTCTTTTAAAAACTTGAATCACTCTTTTGAATGTCATACTAATTACCAAATAAAACCAAAATATGATGAATTTATTCTTACTCTGTCCCTGTGACCTGTGAATCATCAATGGCTGAAAAGGGAGTAAGGCAATTTCAATTGGAATTTGGAATGAAAATAGAAACGGGCTATAGAAATTTTGGGGAAAAAGGTCCCACATGCCAAAAGTTGCTAAATTGCAACACCCTTTTGTCCATTTTGATTGTGCTCTTGCCTCTTGGATTGGAACAAGATAACGATGTACAATATGGGTTTGCTTTTTGCAACTATTTCCCTATTTCTTTCCTATCTTCATCTCCATTTTTTTTAAATTGGGATATGGGTTTTCACTCTTATTTGATTTTTGTTAACAGCAGTTGTTCGGATAAAAATGGAATGTGGGAACTCACCAATTTTTCTTATTACTCTTCTTTGATGTAGTTACATATCATGAATATAATTTCATTGTTTTTGCCGTTTATATTTCAATTGGTGCTCCCCCTCATGTAAATTTCTTGTTCAGCTCCTGGGTGGTTTGACACCGAGAGAGTTGTGCATCAACTCCACTAGTTAACGTTTGCCCACCAATTGTTTGATGAAATTCTTGGGAGGGATGTGTGGTCCTGGAAAATTCTTATTCCTGCAGACTAAGGAGGTACCTGCCGCTGTCATAATTCATTTTTTAAGGTTTAATGATTTTTTGATCTTAAAAGTTGGTTAATGTTTTCCTCTTTTTGTGGTTGAATTTCTGCTGAGTCTTGGCATGATTAGTTTAGTAGGCTGTACTTAGGCTAGAAAAGAGTGTTCTATCCCAATGCCAAGCATGCATTGTGGCAATCAATCAAAATAAGTGTTAATTTGTTGTAAATATAAGAGGTTTTTGGGTATAATCTCGATGTCAACCGTCATGACAATCAATGTCAAACTGAAGAAGCAGTAGAGACACAACTTAATGATGCCCAAAGTAAATTTGCAGGGTGAGTTTCTTTTCTTAAAAGTTCAGGCCATCCTATCCCTATTGTCCTTGAGTTGTTTAGTTGCAATTCATCTCATTTTTTTGGAACTGGCAGGTAAGAAAATGCTTAAACTGAAATATGGAATAGGTGAAAATGCCTAAAAGAAGGTTTTTATTCGGTTGAATCGTATGCATGCCAAGTTTGGCCAAGCTTTTACACTTTTATAGATTTACCTAATCAAATCATTCATAATTTACCGAATTCACGCACATTATGGACTCACGATTAAAATGAAGTTTTAAAATACCTTTCCAACTTCATTTTTGAATATTTAATCAAGACTATCTATATAATACTAATATATATGATTTTTCTCGTTGAATAATATAAAGAAAACATATATATGTATATATATATTTCTATATACGACATACAAAATTTGATGCATTATGTCATGCCTTGAAGAACGCCGTGGCGTGTAAGGCTTAAGGCTTGACCTCGCCTCTATGCCACGCCTCACGCCATTTAGAACCTTGGGTTTTAGTTGAAGAATGTTTTTGGCCAGAAGCCTAATTTGTGAAATAGCAACTATCTTTTAGAAGTTTAACCAGTTCATCATGCTCTATTATCTATTTCTTGGATGCTAGGCTGTTCACATATGCATGCAATTTAACTCATATTTAGCTAAATTTAAGTGCTAAACTTTCCTTTTCGTCAGGCTACATATCACTTCTTTCATTGAAAGAACAAAACACCATTTGCCTACCAGGGAATCTACAATACGTTGACTTTGTGAGAGCAAATTGATAGTGGTAAGCAACTCACTCTCAACAGTAAGTTTCTTCCTATGATACATGTGTTACTGTGTGTTCTCTCGGTTTGCTTAAACCTATAGGCAGGGTTTTAAAGCTCATAGCCCACCATCGTCTTTTAGTATTGGTTGCATATTCAATTTTGTTACAGTGCTTACTTTGCTCTATGTATACTTGAAACTTGTAAGGCTGGCTTTGGAAAGAAGTGACTTGAAGGAATCTGGACCAAAGTTTCGACTATTAACGAAATGCCCAACTTATCCTTGATTGTTGTGGAAGTGGCCATAAGATCAAAGTTTGCACTTGCACCATATCTACAAATCTACTAGAATAAAGAAACTTAATTCTTTCCTGATCAACTACAAAAATAAAGGCGAAAGAGACATATCCTAGAATAATATTTTGCATGTGAGTTGGTGGTGACATCAAGACTTACATAGTATCATTTTTTATACCCTATAACTTTTAAATACACGACTACAAAATGTTCATAGAGTATATTTGTATGGCAAGCATGAAATTGAAAAATAAGAATCTATTTATGTCTTTGAAAATTAGTGGATGATTTTTTCAAGCCATTATATCTGTCTTTTCATTACAAATGTACCATTCTACCGCTTAGTTTTGATGTGATTCATATCCATCTTAATGCATTATGAACTTGGTTTGTATGGTTAACTGGATAGAAATCAATTTGAATATTTTGATATTGGTTCATTTTTTCTCTATTCTTAGTTCTATTTGTTGTGTTTATACCAATGTTTGTGCATGGAAATTGTTTTTCATTCCATATTATGTTTAAAATACTATGTTTATGTTTTATTGACATATTATCTAGTGATGTTGGACATTACGTTTGCATTGTAAGACATTTTTGAGCTGAGCCCAAATGCCCAGCTACTTGGCTCCGCTCAACTTGTTAACACCCCTAGTCATTATGGCAAAAATAATTTTAACAAATTAAAAACCTTTAAGCCGGAATCAGCAAAACTGCAGTTTTGGTTGATCTCTCTCCCTGTTTGTGTGCCGGCAGAAATGGTTTATACAAGGAATAAGCTGAAGCTCAACAAACCACATAACAGAACGCTCGACCCTTCAACAACGATGAACATTTTCAAAACCCTAATCTCAGCCCTTGAATCTCCTGAGGTACATTGCAATATGGATTTTATTCAATTTGCAATTTAAGTTTGAAGTTTGTTTTAATTCCATTTCCAAATCTGAAAGGACTATCTTCTTTTTTTACAAATGCAAAATGACTTGTTTAACAATATTTTGAAATTTTTACTTTCTTGTTTGTTACAAGATACAATTCTTTCTACAGACTAGTCGATGTAGTCCAGATATTATTCTGTCATGTATAGTATGACCCTACTATTCACTAGCTGCTTCCAACTTTTTTTCCTTATATAATCAGGGTATCAAGTCACAACTCTTGAAAAGTTCATATTATTTGCTCATTCAATTATCTACAAAGCAACAACTTTGTTTAGGCAAAGGAGCTGATCTAAATGAGTTGTTCATGAAAACTAATGAAGGTGAAGTTAGGTTGAGTTTAAGAGATGTATGCACACTCTCCAATGTCCTCTTCAAAGATCTTCAAAGGAGGTTGAAGCAGTTGCACTCTTCGAAACATGATGTCTCTGCCACCCGATCTCTTGAACTCGAACAACTTAATCTATTGATAAGATGTTGCATGGTAACCTTGACCTTTCGTGTGCCGCAACAACATCTTTTAGACAGTGGACGAGTTCTTCTTCTAATATTCAAAATGTTGAGTTTACTTGAAGTAGCAGAAGGAGGCCATGGTAATGTCAATTTTAACAAGTCACTTTCATGTCAATGCATGTATAGTGGTGAGAATTATTCCGACTCCTTTGCCAAGGTTTCATCGTTATCATCCTTAGAGCTCTTTGAACCCTGCGTTCCTTTTATCACAGCAATCCTTCAGGTAATTTCAATTGCATCTTTTCCATTCTATAGTCAGGTTTCCCTTGGCTAATCAAATGGTTGATTTCTAAGATGAGTATTTGATCTTTGTTTTCTTGATTTCGATCTAGATTCCAGAGGGTTTACTTTTATGTAAGTAATATGCATCTTTTGCTGATAACCTGCGTGCATCTTTCCAGGTGGTCATAGATGAGCTATTGGTTCATAGTCGGTTGAGAAAGTATTTGCAGATTGTTGATTTTTTTTCTTCACCGGATGACCGTCTATTTAAGCATGGTGCTAGTAGTGGTGACTTTGGAGTAATGATGGAAATGATATGTTCTCATTTTCTACTGACAATCTCCGGTGAGGGGGCTCTTCAGGAATTTCTCAATAGAATAACATGGGTTCGTTCTAATAATTCCAAGTCTCTGGAAGTCAGTGTCATTGCAGCCAGAACATTGCTACAAACCCCCGTGGTGCTTTCTTCACCCAAGTTACTGCAGGCTCATATTGTTTCACTGGTTTCTGATGTAATCGGTGTTTGCATAGATATTGAAAGCATGACATCAGATCCTAGACTAATTGATTCTTACCTTTCGGTTTTTGAAAGCTCCGTTCTCTTGTACACCCAACACATGTCCATTTTGAAAACTGAGAAGAGTTCAACAGATGCTAAAGACATGCACAATGAAAGTTCCCACCCTTGTTTTGAACTTTTTATTGATCCCGATAAACGGCAGAAACTGAATCAGATGATAACTATGTTGAACGATTTATGGAATTCAAATCTAAGGAAAAGGTTTTTTAAGAGAAAGACTGACCTTGTAGCTTCCTCTATTGAATATATACACCAGAGCCTGTGCATGCTTGACATAGAATGCAGAGATGAAGCTTTATGGTTCTTAAGGTGCATGTTAGTGAGAGCTGCTAATGATGTCAACAATATCGAACTGCCTCTTAATGGTGATGCCGATCTGCAAGATATTTGTCTTCTAGCATCCTTGTTGATGCTAATTAGTAATTCATTGATACAAGCAGTTTGGTGTCTAAGATATGGTAGCGATCAACCGAAATCCCTAAAAGACTTATCCGAGTATGATTTTATTGTGGGAGTCATCAACTGCTTCAAAGAATTTAGCATCCGTCTTCCAATCCAAAAATTCTCCTATAACATGATGGAAGAAACTCATCCGACAACAAGTCATGAGGAGTCGAGGCTGATGCTTTTACATTTCTTAGGCTTGTTATCTTTGAGTTTTGATAGCGGGCTTGACTTTTTAGTAAAGAGTTGCATCTCGGTGATAATGGCTTTGACTAATCTGTTTATTCTTGAAGAGGGTAATATAGATGTCTTGATGTCATTAGTTGGTCCTCCTGGTGAAGGATCTCTTGTCATTTACAAAGAGGTATGTATTTACATTTGTTTAAAAAATTTCTCTCTTGTGCACAAACTGATTCCTAAAGATTGGTGCAGGCTCCAGTATCCCAATATCCTACGCTTAGGACGGCTGCAAAATTTCAAAAGATTCGGACACTCTATGTGAGGTAATGCATATGGGATTTTTCTGTAAGAAACTCTTACGTATTACCAGTGGCCGAAGACAAACTAATATATGTAATCTTTTTTGGGTAGTTCGTGAAGGTTCCTTCCGGACATAATTATGCCGTCACACATGTAAATAAATAGACTCGTATATCTTAAAAGAGTCTCCTTTATGTTAATCTTACATTTCTTTCTTTGTTAGAGAGAACCTTTGCTTAGATTTATGAGCTGTTGTGTTAAATAAGCAAGAAAAATAGGTGAGGGGTGTGTAATTATACAACCAGAAAAAAAGTGCTAGATTAAAGAGTGGTTAAACAGAATCTTTGAACCTAACGGCTTTAGTTTCAAGAGCTGATGCTAGTAGGAGATTAAAGCACCATTCAGCTCCGGTAGGGAGTTTGTACACGATTTCCTTTCACCGAGTTGTTACATTACTCAGCTGTCTTTTTGTGTTACTCAGCAATGCTTGTGCTGCAAACGAATCCATGGCAACAGAAGATGTGGGATCGGTTGCATTGAGCATGGAGTGTGCTGATCAAGAAACTTGCCGCGGGGAGATGTATCTGAAGATGAGATTGAAAGGGTCGCATGGTGTGGATGATTTCGATGATTTAGCCGACTTTGTAGAGTGCAAGAAGGGTAAAGATTACGACGATTGGTTAAAAAGTCGAGATAAATTCCGAGAGCGGAAATTGAGGAAAGGGGTGAAAAGAAGATGGGAGAAGAAGAAACAAGTATGGAGATCCATGAAAGGGAAAAGAGATGGTTAAAATCTATCTATAGCTTCCTTGTATTGTAGTAATTGTAATTTTTTTTTTATTTTATGTAATTTTTAAACTGTATAAAAACATTGATACTGATTAAAATTCTTTCTTGTCAAATTAATATTAAAAACTAAAATTGATTTTTCTTTGTTTTTCAGACAGCCATGTAATGTTCAAAGGGTACATCTATAAACTTGAAAGCTAATAAAGATTTAATTGGGCAAATCTTGTCTCGTATATGCTCAAGTATTTTATTAGATTACATATATATATATATATATATATATATATATATATATATGGGCCTAATCAAATAAGAATTGATTAGTTTGTGGTAACTGTGAGATTCAATCTCAATCACAAATAAATGGATAAATTAAAAAATTAATAATTATGGTAGTTTGAGTTAAAATTATAATTAGAGGGCATATTAGGTATTTTTAAAAAACTCTTCTCTCCTTTCTCCTCTCTCATCTCTTCGGCCTCTGATGAAATCGGTATCACAGTATATCATAATGGGTATCACATTGTGTATAAAAATGGGTATCACATTGTGTATCTTTGTTTTTAAGGTTTGAGTTGGTATCATAGTTGGTATCACAATGGTATCACAATATATTACAATGGGTATCACATTGTGTATCTTTGTGATTACTTGGTACCTGCTGGATTAATGTTCACCGGAGGCTGAAGATTGGAGGTCGGAGAGATGAGAGAAGAGAGAGGAGTTTTTTAAAAATACCTAAAATGCCCTCTAATTATAATTTTAACTCAAACTACCATAATTATTAATTTCCTAATTTATCCGTTGATTTGTGGTTGATATTGGATCTCACAGTTACCACAAACTAATCAGTTCTCCCTTGAATGGCCCCCCATATATACATACACACACACACACACACACATATATATATATATATATATATATAGAGAGAGAGAGAGAGAGAGAGACTTGGGATCATGTAAGACCAAAAGTTTTTCGTGAAACCCGTAAGACCAATTCTCAACCTTTGGATTAGATCTACAATCTGAACATTCATAATCATAAAATTGTCACAAGACTTCTCAATAATCACAAAATTGCCACCGTGCAAATTTAGACCATTAGATCATTAGCTTATAAAATTGATCAATGAACATAAATTGGTTTTATGGGTCTCACGAAAAACCCTTGGTCTCACGTGAACCCAATCATATATATATATATATATAGGTTTTTCGTGAGAGCCGTAAAACCAATTTATGTTCATTGATCAACTTTATAAGCTAATGATCTAATGGTCTAAATTTGCACGGTGGCAATTTTGTGACTATTGAGAAATCTCGTGGCGTTTATTAACCGAGGTGTTAGTCCCACTTTAATCAATCTTCATGAAAGTTCTTCAACAATGACAGATTTGATTATAATTGTAAGAACACTTTGATGAGAGAGATGAAGGCTGAGAGAAAAAGTCAAAACTCTAAAGTTGGTCAAACCTTCTTTACGTATTATGAATATTACAATGGAGCTCTGCTTACAAAATTACAAGGAAATCACCTTTTATATATGGTCAAACTTCTAGACAAAATCAAAGTCAAACTATCTAATAAAAGTCAAACACGGTGACTTTTATACAATTATAGACAAAATTAACTTTCAAGACGAATACAATTTTACACTGCTTTTCAGTCCTAACATTCTTTCCCTTTGTATTCAAACTTGAAAGAATTTCCGCGCTTTAAGTCTCGTTTGAACTTTGTAGCTTTAAGCCCACTATGTCTTCTTCAAAACAATCTTCAGCTCGAAATCTTCAGACAATCATTTGTTGAGAAAGATCTTCTAACATTCTCCCACTCGAATGTAGAACATCGATGATCTTCTCTTTTGACAATGTAGAATACTATCAACAAAAATCTTCAAAAACAATGTACAAGATGTGATCTTCAAAGAATCTTCAGACAACAAGTCACAAACTTTCTCTTTGAAGAAAACTCTGTTGGTAAACTTTTGAAACGATGATCTTCTCATTCAAAAACTCTCAGTCATTTTAGCACAGGAATGATCTTTTTATAATCATCTCTAGTCGCACTCCTTTTGAGTCTTTTTCCATCTTTGAAGTTACTCCCCCTTGATCTTTACACCAAATTCCCCTTATAATGTTCGGAATTGGATATTTCATTTATTATTACATACTCCTCCTTATGATGAAATGAGAATCATTTCATCATCATACACAAAAATGAATGAAATCCTCCGTGTAAGCCGTCAATTCATGAAATTGTAAGTAGATCTTTGCAAATCCACTTATTTAATCTTTTCAGATTAAAGGAATGGGAAGGTAACAACCAATTTCAACGAATGAAATTGTTTTCAATCTTATAAAAATATTGGCCTGTGAGTATAGCAAATATACTCAGTACAACGGATGTACTGTATATATGAGACTTTATGATGCTCATCTCACCAGGTCTTCCATTCAATCATCGATAGCTTAAAAATAGCATATCTATGAATGTTTTGGCAAATTAACAAATAAAATGCAATCTGTGTAGTGTAGAAAGATAAAGCAACATATGATTCTGTTTAGACTCCAAATGATAAACAGTGTGGACTACACAAATTTATCAGACTCAATAAGTGATCAAAAAGACTTGAAGGGGGGACATATATCCTTCTGTTTCAATATCAACTTTCTGCGAATGAGAAATTGACAGATGATGAGCTGTTGTTGATCCTCTCTCTCAGTGATTTGATGATAATCCCTTTTCTCTTTCACGTTGTATTTGTGTTTCTGTATTTTCAGTTCCAGCGATCTTCATTGAGTATGTTCAGTAATCGCTGAAGAACTTGCTTTTTAAATCTATCAGAGACAGCAATACTTCAAGAAGACAACACTCACACCAAAAAACCTTCAGCAAACGTCGAAGACTGAAACTGAAGAGTAGAGACCGGCGAGTACGTGATCTGAAGCGGTATTCAGTGATTACAAGCCTATCTACATATGTGTGAAGACTGCTCAAGTTTATGCGAATGATGATGAGACATTCAGGTCATTCTAGCATTCAGCGATCAAAGGAAGCTTGCTTAGCACGATTGTTGTTGTCTTGTTCTTATGCACACAAAGGACAAAACCCATACCCTTACAAAAGTTAGTACGGTACGGAGCCGACTAGTCGACTCTTTATCCACCAACTTTAGGTAAGGATGTTTGCTCAGAAATAGTGCTTTTGTACTATTCACTGTAGCAAAGGACAAGCCTTCCTCTTAAGGCTTGACACGCACTCTAAACCTACCATATTGCATTAAATGGAC